GGGGGGGGGGACCAGGGCTGCTATAAGAGGGTGCAAAGGGGGCGAGCTGAGGGGCTGGAGGATGGTCGGCGCTTTCTTCGCCTGGATTTCTGGCGCTGATGTCTGAGGCGGCCATCTTGCACCAATCCACCTGTAACTTAACGGGGCCAGAAGAAAAGGGGGGGAGGGATGAAGGATGCCTACCCCCTCCCCCACCCCCCCCAAAAAAAACAGACCGAGTTACTTTCGCTGCCTGATGCTAGGCCTGTCTCTCTCCGCTTCTGGGAGCTGGGAGGGGCAGGGAGGGGGCAGTCCCACAACAAGCCCCCTCTGAGTCCACAAGTCCTTATAGGACAGGGGTCTCCCACCTTGGCCACTTTTAAGACTGGTGGACTTCAACTCCCAGAGTTCCTCAGCCAGCCACAGCAACAGGAAGTCTAAAGCAGGGGGTCTCCCACCTTGGCCACTTTAAGACTGGAGGACTTCAACTCCCAGAATTCTCCAGCCAGTTATGCTGGCTGGAGAATTCTGGGAGTTGAAGTCCAAACTGGCTGGAGAATCCTGGGAGTTGAAGTCCAAACTGGCTGGAGAATTCTGGGAGTTGAAGTCCAAACTGGCTGGAGAATTCTGGGAGTTGAAGTCCAAACTGCCTGGAGAATCCTGGGAGTTGAAGTCCACCCCTCTTAAAGCGGCCAAGGTGGGAGACCCCGCTGCTATAGGACATCAAGGCCTGGAGAAAGGGTGGCCTCACCCTCAAGACAGCTGCCCCAGGGCAAGGTGGGGGGCGTGCACGGAATAGAACAGCCGCCCTAGAGAAAGCGAAGCCTACGCGTTCGGCTGGAGAAGAAACTCTGCACGAGGTCAGAGAGCACGTGTTTCCGTCCTAGACGCCGCTGAGGATGACCGCCGGAGATGCAACATCGGTGGAAGGGAATTAAAATTACTCACCTAAAGGTTTCCTACTTTGGATAACTAGGGTAATTGTGGGGGGGGGGGGCAATGTTAAAACCTCTGCTTAATAGCTCCCGAAGGCGGCCGAAATTCTTGGCGGTCCCACCCCAAAAAAGGGCCGTGGGAGTTTCCTCTGTTGCAGCCCCATCGATCTGCCCCCCCCCCCCCCCCCCCCCCGCCCGCCCCCCCCCCCCCCTCCCAGCTCAAGAACACGCCATAAGTGTCTCCCCCCACCCCACCCCCCCCAAAATTTCAGCACCACAACGCCAGCCTGAAGTCCATTCGAACTCGAAAGAGCAAAACTACCCCCGTTTTTTTCTGGGATGCTCTCTGGCCAGGGCCCCCACCCCTCCTTGCCAGGAGCCGGCCCGGGGCCGCTTCCTCCTAAGCCCTTTGCCCACCTACCTGCTTCCTCGGCAGACTTCTGAAGAGCTTCGGCCAGCTCTTGATCGGCCAGCTCGTCGGGCCGCATGTCCTCCCGGCCTGGCCCGTAAGCCAGCTTGGCGCAATCAGGGAGCTCGCCCTCGGGCAGGAAGGCCGTCTGCGAGCCGGTGGTGCCAATCACCAACATGTTGTTCTTCAGGTCGATGGAGCACTGGGGAGGGAGGGAGGAAGGGAGCTGCCCACAAAAAGCCAAGAAGGGGACCTCCTTGTTTTGACCAAGGCTTTCCGAGACCGTAATTAAGCACAGGCTTAGTTAAAACAACACTCGTTTTATTTCAACGCTGGGAATTATGCGCATTCCCAGCCTGTAATGAGTCCCAAACAGTCCCTCGAGATAAGCACCCACCTTTCTCTCCTTTGAATTGCTGCCAATAACTAAAGTGTGCTAAAAAACTAAAAAACTAACTAAAGTATAAAGTCCACACAGAGCTTCAAGGATTAATCTGAACTGAACAAATGACCTTGCTTCCTGCAAAGGTGTCTCTACCTTTGCACTTCCTTTATACTTTATGGGAAAGGCAATCACCTCCAAGTCTTATTCCCGAGTCACCCCTTTTGTCTCGGCTTCGCTTGCCTTCTAGCAGCTCTGCGCATGCGCGCCCTGGGAACAGGCTCCCTTTGTTCCTCTGCCTCGCTGCTGCCAGGCTCCGGAGGGTGCAGAGGCTCCGGAGTCAGCACCCCACTCCCAGATGGCCCTGGGCCCATCTCTGCATTGGACGCAGGACCCTCGTCCGAGTCCTCCCCAGACTGGTCCCCATTCTTCCTCACTGCCTGATTCCGCTGCCGTCTGCACAGGCTGCCGGCGAACCACAACCCTCCTGCCTGCAAGGGAGGAGCCCCTCCTGCCAGCCTCAGGTGCCCGCCACCGCTCACCTGGTGCCTCTTCAGCATGTCCAGGCCCAGCAGCATGTCCATGGGCTGCTCCTCCAGGATGGAGAAGGAGCACGGGAGGAAATCCCCTTCAATCTGCACCTGAGCTGGGGCAGAAAACAAGGCGGGTAGGCGTTCCTCCCGCCCAGAAGCCGGCCCCCATCGCGGGAGGGCGTTGCCGGCGGCCTCCTCCCCAGACACCTACCCAGGTGCACCCTGCCAATGATGCGCTGGGTGCCCACGCCCCGGGCGATGCCGGCCCAGCGCCGGTCCACCAATCGCATGATGTTGCAACGCTCGGCACACGCCTGGCTCATGATGGTCATCTGGGCACCTGCCAAGAGGCCACGCCGCGTTGGAAAGGTCCCACACCCCCCAAAGGAAACCTCAGCCCTGCCGTCCTCCCCGCCTGGCATGGTCCCGCCACTGGCCTCCCTCAGACCCCCACCCTGCAAGCGTGGGCCAGCCACGCCAAGGTGGCAGGAAAGGGAGAGGGAAGGGGGGAGGAAACAGTCCCACCTGAGTCCACGAAGGCCTTCACGGGGTGGCCGTTGACCTTGCAGTTGATGTACAGCATCACCACCTGGCCAAAGCTCTCAGGAGCCTCTTCCATTGCGATGGTCATGTTCTCCTCGATGTTCTGCTGCCTGAGAGGGTCAGAGTGCCAAAGCTGGTCAGAGGCTACCCTCCAGACCCCAGCCCACCGCTCGCCGCTCCCTCCCCGCCAGCCCGCTAACCTAATGTCCTCCTCGATCTTGGCCTGAGCTTCCAGGTCAAAAGGGTCGGCGGAGAAGAGGCGTATCCTCTCCTGCTCCCGGCGCGCCCGGTCCTCCTGCTGCTCCACCAGCACTTGAGTGAATTTCTCTGGGACACAAAACACAGGGCGTGTGGGTTTGTGGAAAGCCATAGGGGCAGTTTAGTTTAATTATCACGGCACGTCGCGCAACGAAATTAAATCCCCTTTTCAGTGCGCTATAAAATTCAACAGAGCTCCTGCCCTGGGATAGAAGATGCTTTTCAGCCTATTTTTTTTTAATTATCCTGTACCATCTGCCAGATGGTGGTAGTTTTAAAAAAAAAAAGGCGGTGCCCAGGATGAGACGGATCTTTGAGGATGTTTTGAACTTTCTTAAGGCAGGAGCTCTAAAGCTCTTCCAAAGAGGGGAGAGGGCAACCCAGGATCCTCTGGGCAATGACGTTAAACCCTCTGGAGTGCTGTCCTATCTGCCACTGTGCAAGTGGCAAACCCTACACAGGTGCAGTAAGTTAAGATACTCTCTGTGGTGCAGCGGTAGAAGGTCACCAGCAGTTTTTCATTCTGTTGTTGTTTCCTGAGAAGCCTCAGGTCGTATCATCTCTGCGGGGCCCTTTTGACCAGGGCTGCAATGTGAGCCTCCCAGGTCAGGTCCTCTTTTAGGGTAACACCCAGAAAACTTACTCCACTCGATCTCCACTGATAAGATGTTTGATCTGTTCCTTCTATATAGTCCACTCTAAGCTCCTTGGTCTTCTTGGTGTTGAGGACCAAGTTGTTGTCTCCACACCACGAATGCATCCGGTCCACCTCATCTCGGTAGGCAGACTCATCCCTCCCCCCTATTCCTCCTGCCCCATTCCTCCTCCACCCACCCTCCCCACACACACCCTTCCAGCAGGACTCACCCAGGTCTCCGCTGAGGAGCGCCTCGGCCAGAGGCGGGTTGCGTTCCTTCAGCAAGGAGAGCTCGTGGGGGTTCGCCAGCAACATGGCTCGCAGGAGGGCAGGGTTGTCCAGGCCCTGAGGGATGGACGGCGGGTCGGGAAGGGCTGGCGGGGCCGGGGCCTGTGAGGGAGCTGGCGGGGCCGGGGCCGGGGGAGGCGGCTGTACAGCCTGGGAGAACTGGGTTGATGTCCCCGGCACGGCGATGCTGCTGAAGTCTATCCTGGGCATCCCTATTTGCGATATGGGGGGGGGGGGGGGGGGTGGAGGGAGAGAAGAAGACAACACCCAATCAACCTCTACAGCCTTGCAGAGAAGAGAGTCACATCTTGTAAGATTTTGAACTTGGTGCATCGGTCCACACCGGGCTTGAGATGGGCCGGTGAGGTAAGAGGGCCCTCCCCTCCTCTGACGCTGCGTTGGCTCCCCAGAATTTGGAAAAGGTGACCCACCCACCCCCCACTGTGCCCTCCAGGTAGGATAAAGGCATCACCCAGGCTGCTCTGGGAGGAAACTTGAGGGAGGGGGCGGTGTGCGTTTATGACGACGTTGAATGCGCCTTGCATTCTGCTCCTGCGTTCCCGCACCCTATTCCTGTGAAATCCACATTTTTTTTCCTGCACGGAATTCCAGAGGGTGGGGTGGGGGGGGGGGAATCAACCCCCAAGGGGTAAACAAATTGGGGGGGCGGCTTAAGGGGCGGGGGGGGGGGGGAGGGGGGGGGGGAAATCTTCCCCGCTTTCTAAAAAAACGTGATCGGTTGCAACCTGAGGAGCTACCAAAGTTGCGGTTGCCGGCAGATTAAACAAGACAGAAAGTGGGGGGGGGGGGGTGGGCCCGAGGGGGGCCAGGCCAAAGGGGGGGAGGGGGGGGGGGGTCTCTTACCAGGAAAGGGGGCCGGGGACTGTGCCTGCCCATTCTCCACTTGCTGCAGGATCACCACATCTCCGTCCTTCAGGCCGTAAGATGCCAACGACCGGTGGTTGTCGGTGAGCGGCTGCTCGGCGAAGATGATCTGAGCGGGAGAGGCACCGTCAGCCGTTCAAAAAGGAAGCTGCCTCCAGGGAGATGCCCTGCTGGGTCACCGGGGGTCAGGCCAGCCTCGGACCCCAGAGCTATCCAGCCTAGAAAGGCAGCCCTGCCTGAAGCACCGAAGCCACCGAACAAAAAAGCAGCCCAGCCAAACTGGGCCGAAGCAGCGACCGTTTCCTCTCGGCGAGGCCATCCCAGACGTGACCCCCTTCCTGGAGAGATTTCCCCTCCCCCCAAAAGCATCAAATACAAATCAAGTTGTAGCTTGGAACGACTGGAAAAAAACCACTCTTATTTTTTAGCTCCAATATCCCAGCTCTTAACGATCTCACGGTCTGACCCAACCTTTCTTTTAGTCTAAACGCAACTGCCTTCCGCCCTCCCTCGTCCTGCCATCTTCCACAAAATCCTCCCCCTGAGGTGTTCTAACTTGGGTTAAAACGCTTCCCAGAAACGCTTCCCGACAGTGCCAGGAAGTGGATCCCGCTGGGGCCCCGGAGACACTGCGCGGATCTGGCAGAAAGCACTGCCTGAAAGAGAGACAGGGAAGACGCCTCCAA